ATCAACTGAAGACAATAGATCAGAGTGTCCTGCCAGAAATGATGGGGTGAAATATTATCTTCAATTATTTAAATTTTTACTCTTTTTTCATGTTGTATGTCCATGTTGTGGTTGTGGGAATTGCTCTGGTAGAGTAAGATGTTTTTGGTTTCGATGTTAGTTTGAGATTTTTTTGGGGTTGCAGCAAAACTATTATTGCTTGTTCATGCAATGCAATCAGAAGATTGGTCTTGTATGCTTGTTTCACTGATATACTTAAATTTTCCAGCATAAAATGCTGCAGTATTGCTATGTGCCATGCTTAGTTTGCCCTCTTAACTTTCCCTCAGGTGGGAAAAGATAGCTATGTAGCTACTTTTTGGTTATAATTACTTTGTATGGTTTGATGGTAAGCCAAAGTTTGCATATTGACATAACTTCACTAGCAATGGGATGTGGACCATGTTAAGCAACTTTGTTAGTCCAAAATTTTGCAGCTGAGTAGATAAGAGTTTCGCTGTTTGGTTTTTTGTTTCCTTTCCAAAGTGCTCTGCATTTTTTGAATGATGAATGCCCACGCTTTCTACCTTTGATCACATGATGGTGAAAAGTACGTCTTTTGTTAAACTTTCAGTATGCAGTTATTGTCTTCACCACTCAATGAGAAGAAAGTATGAAACTGTTTGAGATAGTGAAAGTGGGAGAGGTTGTTGAGAACCAGTCTTCTATGAAGCTAGTTTGAAACGTTGGGTCCTAACTTCTGCTTCTGCCGTGTGAGGGATTGAACTCTGAACTGTTTGCATGTAATTTGGTTGGCCTTTTTTTTTTTTTTTATCTGTGTGTACATGGAGATTCAATTTCACAAGATTGAAGGTGTTAGTAGTGAGGATTCTTTGTCTTCTTTGTTATTGGTCTTACAGTGGTTGGTCTTCAGCACATTATATTAGGTAAAAACCGGCTTGCCAACTGTAGAGAAAGGTGACTGTTCACAAGAGTTGCGGAGCAATCTCATTTACCATTTTCACCTTATCACTTCCCTTGGCTTAAACCCCTTAGGAAAAAGATAGGAATAGCTGAATTCATCTTTAGAAAATAAAGGAATATTTTCTTTTTTCTTTTTTTCTTTTCTTCTATACGTTCTGCAATAGGGAAGATAATAATGTATTAAACTGCGCAATATAGTGATCAAGCAGCACTCTGAGTTTTTGATGGGAAGGTGGAGATATGGGGAAATTGGGAATTTGGTAGTTGTTAGAACCTATCAAGGATTCTGTACGCATAAAGGAGGACACTAATCAATGTGAAGGGTAGTTTTTTAAATAGGGCCAGGTGTCCTTTGTCCCAGAACTTATTAACCTCAAATAAGTTCGATTTGTAAAATGCTTACAAACATGTCATATTGACAACCAAGAATTACGTGAACAGACAAACAGAAACTAATGCTTAATTGGGAACCTGGGACTAAAGCTGAACTCTTCATCATCTTTAATGGAGTTCACTTGACATCAAGCTGATTTCCCTAGTTTGGCTCGTTACTCTAACATTGGTCTTCTTGTATATTTCCTGATCTGAGTGTCGCTTGGCTTCCATTTCCTGGATGCTGTAGAAATGCATCTTATCCTTTCATGTCTTTTCTATTGGCAATAGACATAAATATGCAGAATTTGTGCTGGCAAGAGAAATGTTCAACTGATATTTTATTACCATTTGCAGTTTTATCTCTTGAAGCATGCTTCTGAAGGAAAAAGGCAGTACTCTGGTTACATCAAACGGCAAAATTTCTGTGTATCTGCTGAAAAGGCAAGCATAGAAGAGGATAAAAACCTGCTTGTACACGATATGAGACAGTTGGACGCTGATTCTCATGCAGTATTGGAGGCGAGTCCGAGAGAAGGCATCTTTCAGAATGCTTCTGGCGACCAACTCTCTGCAGATTTACATACTCCTGGAAAGTCAGCTAGTATCAAAGAAGCCTCATATTCAGTTGTTAAATCTATCTCTATACGTCGCAATAGACCTACCATGAAATGTTCCATTCCTTCTTCTGCAAATTGCAATTCTGGAAGTGAAACACATCAGTTCAGCTTGAAATCATCGGTTGAAAAAGATTATGCTGGTGGCTACAAGATTGCCAGTGAATTGGACAAATTTAATCTGAAAGAAACTTGTTTGCCTGTTGAAGATAAACCCGGTAGCTTGAGTGCCTCTGGAACCTTGCAAAGCAAATTGAGCTCTCCACTAATTACTTTTTATCGAAGATGCAAGCGGAAAAAAGATGTGGATGGGCTACATACGCAAAACACCTTGGGAGTTGCAGAGGATTGTTCATTGGAATTTACAGGGTCAAAGTCTGCAGGCTTTGCATCTGTTGGGGAAGCAACGCCTCCTGAAAGTGGTTCAAAACATATTTTAGTGAATACGAACCCATCGGAGGAGAATCTTAACAGGAGGGTTGCCTTTGATGCAAATCATGAAAAAGTACGTTATCACTTTTGAAGTAGCTGTTCTTTTTTCCCCCCCTCTCTCTTTACACAAGATGATGCTCACTTGCAAAATTTGGAGCCTCTACGGTGGTAATCTTGTGTGGAGTCAAGTAAGCAACTTGACAGGCTATTCTTGAAAATAGTTATTTTTTCTAGAAAGTGAAGACAGGTATTTTGCATTAACAAATGGAACGAAAGTGATTTTGTATTTAGGTGATTGTGGTAATAGTATGCATTTCCTATTAAGATTTTATTCAGCCAGGAATTCAGTTCCACATTAGAGGAATCTAACGGAGAGTTTGGTTCTGAGTCATTATTCGATTTCTTAGATAGTGTAAATGATATGTTGAAGCATGAATGTTTTAAATTAAGTCCTCTGGTAAAGATGGAAGGAACATGTGATTTCTATTCACACTTCACAACTTCTTATCGGCTCATATTTAGCAACATGACACCAAAATATCTGTAACATTTGTTTTAAAGATGTTCTGACAATGTGTTGCAGTCATACGGTCTGGGGTAGTCTTAATTTGCTGTAGCTGAACTTTCCTGTTATTGTGAATTTTGTTGCTTTCATTGATTCATCGTGGTAACTCTATGGGGAAAGGGAGAATAAAGAGGCTAGTAGTCGATTGATTCTGCTCAATGGTACATATGCTTTCTTGTTGAGTTCAATAAGTTTGCTGGTCTTCAACAGATGGCAAGCAGAGAAGTTGAAGAATCATATACCTCTAGATTATCTCCTGAAAATGCGAAGTAAGCTTCAAACTGTCGTAGAAATGTTTCTACTCTACCAAGTAGTCATGTGAATTCATCCTCTTGTATGTTATTTAGCAGCTTCGAGCAAGCAGATGACAAGCTGGAAAATACACAGGACAACCAGTCTACATTGGAAGTATTTCCTCAGAATTCTGTTGGGGTTGACTTCCTAGAAGGTCGTATAGGTTGTTCAGGAAACTTATCAAATGATTCGGCTGATGACCTTTCTTGCAAACCAGTGTCAAAATACTGTAAAAATACTGTAGCTCAGGAATCTCTAAGACTCAGTTGTCAAGATACTGTAGCTCATGAATCTTTAAGATTGTCCTATGATGACCTGAGCACCGTAAGAAAAACCAATGAGATTCCTCGTGGCCAACATGCTGCAGTATCACTGGACTTATCTGTACCTCTTCCTGGTGAGGATTTCTAAATCATGTTTGAGGTGGATTAGTTTTATTTAATTCTTTACCTGCTTCTGCTATGTCTATCGTTTCAGTTGGTGTTTGCTAAAACTCAACTTTAACATCATGTTATTATAGATTCTCATGGTACAGAGGAGTGTGGTACAGCATCTATCCATGAAGAACAGCCACTCTGTGGTTTGCTGAACTCACAAAGTGGAAGTCATACTATGCTTATTAAAGATGAGTCTCCAGGAAGCAAACGCTTGGAGTTGCTCTGTGAGAGAGTTGGGGAAAAACATCCACTTCACCAGGCACAGTTACCAGAAGATGGTTTCCTTTCTGAGGAAGCTGTTGGTCACAATTATAATAATGTAGCAAATTCTTCTCCAGTATTTGGACTGAAAAACAACTGCCTACAGGTTGGTGGGATTATTGAGTTTCAAGAACCAGTTATTAGATAAAACATCTATTACATGATTTTGTTGTCATACGTTAAAAATTGTTAGTCATTTCCTTTTCAGTAGGCGAAATAGAGTTTGGTGCTTAAAAATAGGCAATCTGGTATCTTTTTTCAGCTATTTCCAGAGGATAGATCTGATGATATGTTCCAATCAAAGAAGACGCATAAATATGTTACAGCTTGTGCTGATTCTGAAGAAAGGACTGTTGGTCTGACGGAGAGCAGGAGCCAGACGAGACTTTCGGCAACAAAATCTTCACTCTTTCTTGGTTTATTTCTGCCCATGGAACTGATAAATGATGGTCATGATCACAGTTCCACCTCATCTCAGCGGCCTAATATTGGCATTCAATCAAAAGAATTTGCTCAAGATACAGTGCCTGAATTTCCACATCAGACATCATCCTATAGAAGACACAAGATGGTGCTAGATAATATTGTCAGTAGAGCAAGAATGCCGAAGCGAAAGAGAGGCAGCTGTCTAGAATCGTATGATTCTCCAAGAATGTGGTCAGAGGAAGAGCTAGATTCTCTTTGGGTTGGCATCAGGAGGTATGGAAGAGGAAATTGGGATGTCATGTTAAGGGATCCGAGGCTGCACTTTTGTCCATGGAGGACTCCCAAGGAACTTGCTGCGCAGTGGGAAGAGGAACAATCTAAGCTTTTCAATACCATGCCTACTGCCAGAGGGAGACATTCGAGAACACCCAATATTTTCCAAGACAGTGTGGATAGCTTTTGGCATTCCAAGACTGGAAAAGAAAATTTGGTGGATGATGTTCAACTTTCACTTGGAGATGTATATTCCCAGCCAAATGGCAGTCCAGAAAAGACCACTCTTTAATTATTTCAATGTGCAAACTAATGCACCTTGGCAACTTCAAAAAGCTGCAACAAACACGAGGACATGTATTCCTGCAGGGAAAACCGCAGGAGAGCTATGCTTCAAAACAATGCAATGCTGGATGTCGAATGTTCTTTTGGTGCCAATCAGTCAACTTGTATGGCTATCGGGGGAAATTTGCCTCACTGGCTCAGAGAAGTAGTCTCAATCCCTTTGAGATCTCCTCAGACGGTTCTGCCATCAGATAACTCATCTGTAGGTTCTGTTGAAAGGCAGTGGGTAAAGAAACCTTTTCTTGATGCCAAGGAATTCATCATGAGCCAAGTTATCGAATAAGCAACAAGCGCACCGTTGCAGAAAGAGTCGAGCAACAAGCAGGAGCTGGAGCTCATAATGGCAACTTCCCATTTGTGTTAGAACATAATCAAGCTGAAGTGCAGAATCCTGGTATCAAACAGGACCTGATCATCATTGACAGTGATACGTCTTCAGAGGAGACTATTTCTGATGATCATAACGCCAAGGTTTAGCTGCAGATTTAGTTTTTAGTAGATTCATGATAAAAGTTAAGAAGATCGATGCTGGTCTGTACTCATCTGTAGGGTTGAGGAAGGATTCTGTAGTTTTCTTAAGCTAAAAATTCTTTGATTATTATTCAATGTAGTTCTAAGTAAATAAAATCTTTGGTAGAGCAGCCATTAACAAAAGAGCAGTGGTTCTCTTTTTTTTTTTTTTTTTGGGTAGGAAGCTAGAGCAATGGTTCTTTATGTCCCAGGCAGTTCCTTGATAAGCTTGCTTTTTGGAAATTTAGACAGCCCCATCGAGCGTTGGGTGGACTCCCTTTTTGTTTTGTCCTTCTCAATTTTGAAGGGGGGAAGATTTTCACTTAAAAACCAGATTAGAAAAAGTCAGTCGGACTACATCTTTCTTGGCTTAATTATCAGCCAACAGGTGAGTACTGAATAGACAATAATTCACTAGGCTAGTAGTTAAGGGTCTTTGTTTATTATCTTAGGCCGTGTTTGATAATTCAATTCAGCGTTTAAACTTAATAAATTCATATCTTAACATGTTTGATGCATTTGATAATAAAAATTAAATATCTGAATTAATTAAGTAGTACTGAATTTTTTAGGCAAAACTTGCTCGAAAAAATTATTGATAAACTATTCATTTATCACTAAATATGATATACACTCAAATATATTCTATTTAATATTTAACAATTCAATAATTTCATGGATTCAGAATTTAGATTTTAGATTTCAAATTTCAATTTTATCAAACCCACCTTTATTAGTTTAATTATCACCCTCCCTACCCTTTCGCATTTTGCCTTTTTCTTTTTTTAAAGAAAAATGTAAAAGGTAAAATGACAAAAAAAATTATCACTTGATTAATGTCTCTATCAACTGCGTTGATTTTTGGTTTTACAACAAAGGTTTACCAAAAAAAAAAAAAAAAAAAAGAGAAAATGAGAGGAGAGCATACTTATAATCCTTTTTAGAGGTTTTTTTTTTTCAAATACCCTTTTTAGATGGTTAAGTAAACTTCACTTAAATGCAGGTGTTTGAAAATTTTTTAGAGGGTCAATAATAGTGATTTGCAGAAATGCGAATTACTTCATCATACGTCGTCGTAGTGGCGCCCCATGGCTCAACCGCAAAATCATGGCTGGAGTTCGTTAGTTAGCAGTTAGCACTAAGTGATATCTCACTCTGATATTCACATTCAAGTTAGCCTTAGCAAAATCATCAACAAAAGAAGGAAAAAATGAGCAGCTTATCATTATCAACGTCTCTTTGTCACTGTAACTATATAAATTGTCAAGATTTAAAGCCTCGCTTAATCTCTGCATCATTCTTGAGAAACCAGGGTTGGATTAGTTCGCATCAGCTTCCATCCAAAAGATTCAGCCTGCATTCAACCGGTAGTTCAAATGGGCCGTCGGATACAAAGATAGCACTCAAGGAGGAGGAGTCTTCTTCTTCTTCTTCTTCTTCCAAGAAGAAGAGAGAGTAGTGCAAGAATTCAATGGAAAAGAAGTAGCCCAGTTGCCAGAAAAGGAAGGGGAAAGAAACAGTTCAAGCACTGTGTGCTCCTCTACTCGATAAGGACCTTAAAAAGGTGTCTTTCTCAAAATGGTTTCTCTTGATTTGAATTATTACTGGCAATTCCCAGTTCATATATTTGTTTCTTTTCTTGGATGCATTAAGATTTAGTTTAGGTGTGAATCAAATGTTTTAGACAGACTATTAAACCTGGCTTCTGTAAATTGTAATAGCTGGATTAACAGGTTTCTCACTTTCTCATCTGGTCTGTGAGACAGATGAGCCCTTAAGTGGTTATCAGTAATGGGGCGATTTTGTTTAGGAGAAAAGTTATCCTAATTTCAATGTTTTTATCCACACTTCTTATACATAGCAGTCTATATTTATCTCTTCCTAAAAGTTGTAGACTAATCCTACAATTTCCAAAAGGAATTAACAACTCCTGCTAATTAGCTTGGAGGATTTCCATGAACTGTTGATAACAATCTTGCACAAGGAAATATTATACTTGGTTCTTTAGCACCTACCAGGCCTGTAGCGTTCAGATATCAGGAAGTCAATAGCTACTCTATGCTGGCATGATGAGAATGATGGTTGTGTTGTTTTAAATTTTGATGCATTCTGCTTGTTGTTATTCACTTGTGCGACTGTGTCAACTATTCTTTAGAGTCTGGAATGAAAATATGCACCTAATGTTTATATAGTCCCCTGAGCAATACTAGCCACTTGATTGTCTGGTGGCATAAAAGTTATTTCTGTTGAAGTTAATATTACTGCTTTTCAGCTTCAATAAGTTTTATATTTTCATCTACTCTTCTTTTCTGCATATCTTACTATAACTTTTAGGAAAGATAGAAATTTTATACGATGATCGACTTTTTTGGAAAGGTTGTCCAAAAGACTGCAGCAACTTTTGCACCTAGGGCTTCTGTTGCTACCAAAAATCCTGCTGTACCTGGAACCATTCTATATACTGTTTTTGAGGTGCAAGGTTATGTCTCAATGTTGCTAGGAGGAGCTCTGTCTTTTAATCTGATATTCCCCTCTAATGAGCCAGACATATGGAGACTAATGGGGATGTGGTCCATCTGGATGTTCAGTAAGCAATACTCATTCCAATAACAATAATTTTTTTAAAATAGAAATGTATTACACGATAGATTGTTTCTTTCTTTTTTGATGCTTAATGATAAAAGTTTCCTTATATGGTGCTTAGTTATCTAAATTGCATTGCTGGTCAGAGAGGGACATTCCAAAGACTTCAGTCATATGCAATGTTATGCTTCTTACTTCTTGTTCATTTCCATTTTCCGGCTGACTGTGTAATAATCTTCAAGCAGCTTATCTATTGTATGGGAAAAGTATTTGGAAGATGTATTAATTTTAGGACTAGCCATATTATGGCAGAAGGTTACTAATTAATGGAGGTAACCATCAGTTTATATGTGTTTGTAAAGAAAAAGAGGAAAATAAAAGATGTACCATGCTTGTGATCAGACATGATAAGCTCCTAGATGGGAGATATTCCAGCTTTATAAGAGTGACCAGTTTTGGCTACTTCTGTTAAAGAGGTCAATTTCATGCTTTTGCAGCTATTCCTTCCCTCCGGGCACGAGACTGCTCAAAAAATGAGAAAGAAGCCCTCAATTATCTCTTTCTGCTAATCCCGCTCTTGAATGTTTTAATCCCATTCTTCTGGAAATCATTTGCAGTTGTTTGGTCTGCCGATACCATAGCCTTCTTTGGGATGTATGCATGGAAGGTACTTGTTTCTTAAACTTTGCCATCTCTAATAGGTTTCATTTTCTTCTTGTGTAAATATATAATTTGTGCAGATGGGGTTGCTTCAAAAAGCAGAGATGGAGTAACATGAAGTGGCTTCTTTGGTTTTGATTGGTTAGCTCGTTGCCTAGATGTATCTCAAGTATTACAGCTAATGGTTCAGACCAGTTCAGATATCATAAGCCTTAATGATAGCAAATGAAGGAACCACTTTATATTTTATAAAGTGTATCTACAAGTTTTGCATTATTTGGACAAAATGAAGTTGACTGCTACCTTAACTCCTTAAGAAGGCTACATTGTAAAACAAGTGTGGTTGGTGTACAGATATTTTAGTTGTGTATCATATGTCTTTATTTTTAGTTGAACATAATAACTTTCTGACTTTCTCTCAGGATGGTGACTGATACAAATGGTTCTAGAGATGTAAAGCGGCTATTTAATTAATCCAGTTATTGTGGTTCTGAATTTTCTCTCATCTTGTTGTCCTTTCACCTTCATTTTTTTCTGTTTCGAATAAATTATCCACACTTTCATGTTTTTGCTTCTTCATGGCAGCATTTCTCCCTGCATCATTCATGTCTCTCGTATGTATAATAGTTAGGGTGAAAGAAGATGAATTTTATTTAAGAAAAGGTAAACGAACTTCACACTATCTGCTTTAGTGATCAACTTCAGGGAGAAACTGCGTTTACTCTCTTACTTTTAGATCAGCAATGGGAAAAACTCTATTAGTGTGTTAGTAAGAAAGATAAATCATTCAAGGACTAAAAAAAGCATATGTAGTATTTGATGCTTTTTGTGGAAACAGGATTCACCTGATGCAGCAACAAATCTGTAGTTTATATGCTTTTCTTTTGTAATGATTAGATGATAGTGTGGGTTAAGACCCTTTTGATGGCTATAGTGGTTTAGCTAATTTGTATGTGGCTCCAATAACAAAATATAAATCATCTTAACCGTGCTTGGAAATTGTGCTTGTGCACCCTTTACTTTTGGTTAGGAAGTGAAAGGAACAATTTATGCATCAAAGCATTTGAGAGACAAATAACTTGTTAAGACCTCTTAGCATGTATAAGGAAGAATTTACACATCAAAGGAATTAAGAAGCAAATATCTTTTTAACGCCTCCTAAGATGTATCTTATATGTCCAGGCACAGGAGTGGTTCTTTTCTCTTCCTTTCTCGAGCATGTATTTCTTTTCCAATATACTTAAGTAAATAACACATGCTACTAGTAGCTCATGCTGGATTTGCAAGCTGCTTATTCTGCCTTGTTTGGCTTAACATGAAAACTGCTGGTGTATGCTAAAAACTACTTTGGTGTTGTCTTTACACCCCAAGTACATGTTGTTCTAGAATATTACGAGGTCTTCTTATCCCGAGTACGTGGACCCAATGCAACTTATATATCTTGAAGTAGACTAGAGAACCTCACCTATTCAGGACTAATTCATCTTTTCTTAAATCTGTATCTTTACTAATTGCAGAGAATGGTAGATGAAGAAGAGTTGCAGTTCCATGAGGAGTACATGAATGAACAAGATCCTAGTATTCTTCATTTTCTGCTAGCATCTGGCGACGATGTAAACATCTTTTGTGCCTTGTTATTATGTTTACTGCATCATTATTTTTTTCTACAAAGGTTCTCATGTACTAAGTATTAGGTCTCTAGCAAACAACTGCGCGATGATTTGATGACACTGCTTATAGCTGGGCATGAGACATCTGCTGCAGTACTGACATGGACATTTTATCTTCTTTCCAAGGTTTTTATTTTATTCTATTTGTTTTACTACTCAACTTCTTTGAAATGTGTTTGTCCATGAAGTGAAGAAGCAATTTTATTTTCATATAGTAGTTGTACAGCTATCACTATGCAATTTGGGCATATTCAGAACTTTACAGATGCAGACTATGTTGATTAACAAACTTTCCTAGAAGTTAGGTAATTTGAGAATTTGGAGTACATCTTTTCAGATGATAACAACATAATGTTAATCAGTATTTTTCTTGAGAAGCATATGCCACACAATTACTATTAACTACAAATTCTGTAATATCTTTCCATTCCATTGCTGCTTCGTTCTGGTAAGTGCTTAACTTATACAGTTTTGGTTAAAGCTACAAGTTTGGTTCTCTTGGTTATTTCTTCTCTAACTCCTCCCCCTGCCAAGACAACATCTCTGCCTAAATGTGTAATTTTTAACCATGACTGTTGAAAGTAAATTTGTGCTTTGCCAATGTTAAATTATCTTCTACAATGGTTGAGCTTATATGATAGTTGTTTTTGTGTCTTGGGCTAATAACTGCAGGAACCTAGTGTGCTAGCCAAGCTTCAAAATGAGGTAGGTTGAAACTTTGGATTTTTTTGTGGCTGCATTAAATTCCACAATCTCTGTTTTAACTAATAATATAAGTGCTATAACAATAATAGATCGATATCTTATATTTTAAAATGTTGTTTCAGGCGGATGCAGTTCTTGGTGATCGGTTTCCAACCATGGAAGACCTGAAGAAACTGAAATACACAACTCGAGTGATTAATGAAGTGAGAAGCATTTCTTTGTAATTCATTAAGAATCAACCAGTTTTTGGGTAGTATGCAGGATTTTTTTCTTATTGTCTTAGTTTTGTCATTTTGCAGTCCTTGAGACTCTATCCACAGCCGCCAGTTTTAATCCGCCGTTCTCTTGAAAATGACATGCTTGGAGAGTACCCAATTAGAAGGTCAAAATTGTTTGTTCATTTTTTTTAAGCCAAAATTGTTATTTCGTGGACCCAAGGCATGCAGGATTTGTATTTATTAGGTATTCTTTACTTTGCACAAGATAAAAGGCAATTATAGATCGTCAGCTTAAATTAACTTTACAATAAAAGAACAGAGACTAGGATGTATTTGGTTTATTCTATTTATAGGTCAGCTTAAATCAATTTTATTTATTTTATTTTGGGTTTAGTTGTTTAAAAAATGCAGGGCAAAAATCAGCCTCAAAGGAACATTCCAACATTCTGATCCATTCATATCTGAATTCCATTATGTCTGGCATTGTTGGAGCTGTAGGCACACTTACTATGATTTTTTTAGACATATACACTAGTTTACCTCTGTAATCCTGCCATTGTAATATGATTTCTGGCATCCTAGGAATGTTAAAGTCAAACTGGTGAAAATTTGCATGTCCTATTTCCTTGCATTTAAGTGTGATAAGGTGCTTTAGCTGGAACAAAATTTTTCAGTCTCCAGATCCTAGGGTGAGCTAATCTGGGAGAAATCCAAATGAAGGCTTGGTGACAAGTTCAAGACATCTGATACATCTCCTATCTATTTCCTTGGGAGATCCAAAATTATGCTTGTTTCTTGTTTTAACATTTACTCTTACCGAAGGCTGCATTATGGAACCAATGCATTTTACATTTCTAAAGACAGATGACAGAGTTAAAGGGTGGAGATTAGTGGTTGACACTCATCAATAGTAATTGGCTAAAATTTTTGAATTTCTCCTAATTCAATACAAGTTTGTTGCACCCAGGTTGTGACATGTTGGTTCTCATTTTTGGTGAAATCTAAGCTTTTGTGACTGCTCGACTGATCTTCCCTTTACAAGTGGACACAAATACAGGAAAAGACCAAGATTAAAATTCTGGCACGTGATATCTTAACCTGCACAAACTTCTCAACACTAATTTAGAGTAATATTTTGCTTTTAACCTGATTTTGCAACAAATAATAAAAAGGCTTCTGAATGGTTTCAGCTTATAAGTTTGCCAGTGTTGCTTCCTCCACTTTCAGTCTTCTTGGACAATTTTCATGATGTATCCACAGAATTGAAGAATATTTTCTCTCTTTTGATACAGGGGTGAAGATATTTTTATTTCTGTTTGGAACTTGCATCATTGTCCCAAACGTTGGGAAGAAGCAGAGAGATTTAACCCAGAAAGATGGCCTCTGGATGGACCTAATCCAAATGAGACCAACCAGGATTTCAGGTAAATTCACTTGTTTGTGGCTATGTAGTCTTCCTGCTCAAGGTTTTATCGTCATGATCATCATTATTATTATTGATGAATTCTTTTGTGATAGTTGCTGCTTATGGTTCATCGTTTAAGCTTTATATATTTTCTTATTTTATTTTATGTTATATGATTTGCGTTTTTCTTTCATGGAGGAATGACTGGTACAGTTTAGGAGATTGGGCTGTACAGAAACAGCATGACATCCATTTTTGGAAAAACGTTGAGGGACTAACATGTGCATGGAGCTCTGATACTTTTAGGGCACCTGGAAATTATCAGCTTTAAACAGTTGTACTTGTGTATGCTCAAAATTTGTGAAGGTCCCCATTTAAGTGAGAAAATGAGCATGTTTCTTTCATTTTGAAGAAAATATAAGCCGCAGATGCATGTTGGGGATTGATTCCATTTTCATGGGTATGACAGATAAATAGGAGAATACAAGTTACACTAGACAATTGCTGATAAATACAACTGTGCACATACATTGATATGTCTATTGCCAAACACGAGCACATGTTTGTGTATGATTCTCTCTGGGATTTGTGTGTGATCTGTTATTTATGGATGCTAGAAAGCACTTGTATGCAGAGAGGAGGTAATTCACATCAACCAGTAGTGGATCAATTGCCCTGAAATTGGTTTAGTTGGAATTCTGGAATGAATATCTCTCAGGACTTAGGAGAGAAAAAATTGAAAGCTTTGTAATTAATTATACCTGATAAAGAGACTTTTGTCTGGTATTTTAATGGCTACTAAAATGGTATGCTGTTAGTTTCTGTCAATTTATTCTTAGCAACTTTTTTCTGCTTCTCATTAAATGCATACATACCGTGTTTTGAGAAGCTAGAATTATTTTCTCATGTTATTACGGTTTCAGCTACTTGCCATTTGGAGGGGGACCAAGAAAGTGTGTTGGAGACATGTTTGCTTCCTTTGAGGTAATCTTTTAGTCAAGTACTTCACTTGTAAGTCAGTAGATGATATTGACAGCACGATACATGATTTCTTTACCTGATGGAGCCCTGCTATCTCTGTTTTTTTAAAACTATACCTGTATTTTGGTTGTAATCTCGATGTTTCTTTAATCAACAGACCATAGTTGCAGTTTCAATGCTTGTTCAACGCTTCAATTTTCAAATGGCAGTTGGAGCTCCTCCTGTAAGTTATATTGAGTTCTCTTTTGCAACTTCACAGAGATTCAATTCTGTATTCGGAAGCACAATAACTGGATGTTGCTAAGAATCGAACTCCATTTGCTTGGAAGTTTATCTGATCATCCACTCTCAATTTGTGAAGTTGAATCAAATACATGTTTACATGAATTGAGTTGTCTGCAGGTTCAAATGACTACAGGGGCAACAATACACACAACACAAGGCTTGAAGATGACCGTTACAAGGAGGATGAGGCCTCCTATAGTCCCCACATTGGAGATACCGGCGGTGAGAAGCGATTCTTCAGTGAACGTTTCAGATATCAGCACAGCACCCGATCAGAAAAGTGAAGTTTCCCCTTCTGTTTCCTAGTCTCCAAATGTTCGTGGCTGCAACATCAAATCGCATATTAAGTGGTGAATCAAGTACCGGATGAGAAAAGGCTACCTTTGCTCTGCTTGTGTACGTTTGCAACGTATGGTGTTTTCGAGGCGAACCAATTTCTGGCTGAGAAAGGCTATGTTCCCCATCTCTCTCACGCCTAAATCCAATCCAATGGCATCATTAGTTGCGCAGCAAGCGTGATAATGTCAAGGGAAGGTGGAAAAGAGTTGTGACTGCTGCCAAGTCCATCACCAAATGCAGAAAGTCTATGCAGTATGATGGCTTTTGAAGCCTTTGTAGTTGTAAATCTTGTATCTAGATTTTGATGAACGAAAAAACCTCTTGTTTTCTCCAGTCAGCTAGTATTTGTATCAATTCATCTAACAATAGCTTATTTAGGTCGATCAATCCTCCATTTGCTTCGCCAGGATCGTTATTTTTCCTCAGTTTATCTACCGCTGCCCCAAGCTTCTTTGCTCTATATTTCTACAGACTCACGTTTCATCACCCAAAGTTCTGAAAAACTTCTGAGCGCAAAGAATACACGTTTGGATCTCTCACTTGGGGCCTTCGAACCCACAATCGAAGCAAAAAACTTTAAGAAAAAAAAGGAAAGGAAAACAGAGCCTGCTGCATTCTTGCCCACGAGTCAAGTAACAGACAAACAAAACGAAAGATTTTATGCTGTTGGTGCACTACTGCCTTTTCACTCCATTTCCTTGTAGAGGTGAACAAAGCATCTAGTTGAAAATCCTTCAAAGTCCATTGGAGAACTGCATCTAAGAAGAAAACTACAGGATTATGTCCTCAACAAACAAACTGCTAGGACTAGCTGCTTGAGACAGGAATCCATCCTCACAACCAAAAAAGATCGCCTAATTTGGTACAATTCAAGAACATAAGATGAAACATAATACCAATCAGACAACTTGCTATTGTAACAGAAGATGTTACGAGTGATGGGCTGGCTTCAGAATTTCCTCCATTTTTAATTGTCACCCATTAATATCTGGAGTAACATCAACACTAGTGGTCTATACAATCTTGGAAAATATTGCTGAATAGAAAAATTGAAAAAAGTGTCATCCCCTTTTGCTGTGTCTATGAGTGAGGGAATAGAAAAGGATTAATTTCATTTTGCATCATTTAACTGTATCTAAATTTTCACACGTTGGTTTATAAACTTTAAAATAAGATATTTTAGTCCCTAAAATATAGTAAAATTTGTCTCGTTTAAGTAAAATCGTTGACGGGAGTGAGACGGATTTTATACTTAAATGGAACAAATTTTATACTTTAAGAACTAAAGTGGAACAGATTTTATACATTAATTATTAAAACGCTTCAATTTAAAGTTTAGAAACCAAAGTGACAATCGACGTATAATTAAAAAGTACAAAATAAAATTAACACATAAAAAGTTGGAGCCTGAACGAAAATAGGCAGAGACAGCAACATTGCCCTCTGGAATACCTAATTCCATGTTCCTTCGCCTTCCCTTTGATGCTCATCTTCCTTCATAGCTGTGCATCAAACCTAGCAAAAAATTTGCTAAACTATCCACTTCTAATCGTCAAAATCATGTCAAATGTGCCGTTAGAACCTCCGACCTTGTCATCCAGGCCAAAAACCCAAGAAGGAAAAAAGAAAACCTGCCTACAACTCAAACAACAGACAAGCACCAATTTAAGGATTTATGCTGTTCATCTATTGCTTGAACTTCCTAAGGCCTATGAATGCTTTGCGCCCTAGGCTTCATGTTGGTGGCATTTTTTCAAAATCCACTATCGAGCTCGACTTCCTCAATTGTAGCTGCCACCTTTTCAGACTATTTCACCATGGAGCATTTGCTTGCATTGAGAACGTATATGCCTGCCACTTCAGAGATGTTAACTTGCAGCAATTAGGCTAGGAAGGCATTTTCGACAGACAAACATCCAAAAGCCACATCCCCAGCAACAACAGAAGCAAAACTATCATTCTCCCCCAAATGGTAGCAAAGGAGAGAGACTGCACTGTCAAAACAAGTATCCAAACATTTCCATTGTTTGAACTGTTCACGAATATCAATATGTTACACATTACATATACAAAGAGGTACACCCAGATAAACCAATTCATTCTCTACACCTAAAAGACGTTCTTGATTTATTGAAGTCGCACCAAAAATCGCAAAGACGTTACAATATTTCACTTCCAGGTATTTCCCACTTGCTCTCTCTCTCATTCTCTTGCTTTCCTTTCTTTTCTTCATTGATGGTGTGCATGTAATCTGTCCGCATTCAACTTCCATCTAGAAGTGACTGGAAGCCGCAAAGTGCACTCACTAAAAATTTATAGGAGGAACTGAAGCAGAATATAGTCCACCTTTAGACTCATGAAGGTTCATCTGATGGACTTCGAGTAACCAAAACAGCCTCGAAGAGAAAACAAATTGGATTTTCGTGGTTCCTCAGGCTCGGCCTCCAATTTCCTACGAGGGAAATGTTTGTAAAAAGCTTTAACAGCTCCTGTTACCCCATCCTCATTTTCCATTGCCTTTGCTAGTTCGACAGCACGTTGTTTAACCTGCAAGAAGTGGGTGATTAAATTCTCTTTATTGCCTCGCAAAGATAGACAACCAAGAAAAATTCTTGGACTATGTTCTAATATTAAACTAAGCTTTTAGCATCAAGTACTTGTTTATGACATCTTCTTTCTAAAAGCAGTACAGACAGACAGTTTTTCTTGTCCCAACTTCAGCTTAAAGTAATCTCCAGTAAAAATTTATACTGCTTAACACATCCACGCGTATGGTGCAACTACACGCAGCGTCAATATCCAATGTGCTGCTAGGCAGTATGCAACTTCCCCTTAATTAAGCTCTACTACTTGGTCAGTAAAAACATCTCGTCCTGGTAACAGAGGAAAATTATTCATCTAGGTAACAATAACATATAAAAACATTTAATTCTGAATGGAGATTTTTAGACCCCATGTTTTGTAGTCAGCCAGAGACAAAACAAAAGTATGCCTGACACTATTTGATAAGGCAGCAGCATCATGCATAAACGTCTCCTTCCATTTCCACCAATTAAAACATGAAATCATGCAGAGAAGCCATAATTTCCAACATAATCCAACTCCAATTCAACAAGAGAAAAGACTGCTTATCTTTTACTAGAAATAACATACACAAGCAGTTCACCAGTTTACACTGTTCTTGTACACGTGACAAACAGGATGACAAGTATCAACTTCCTTGAATATTTAAAACTGGAGAAATGTTCATCGTTTCAGGTTTTAACACCGTAACCTCTGAAAATCTAGTTAACGCTCAACCTCACAAGCTCAATGATTTAGGCATGAAATGGTCTTTTAGAAGTAATTCAAGAAAATGAAAATCCCATCTTGGATCAGTTTATAGCTTTTAGAGGAAAATTTGTGGCGGGAGATACCATATCTTCCATCCTCTCCCTTTTCTTCAGCAGTAAGGCCCATGGCGGCACAGCTCCCCTCTGGCTATCTCCCTATCCTCAAGAAAATGGAAATGAAACTCTCTTTTACTCTAAGTCCCTTTCTGCTGTCCTCTGATTCTCCTTCTTACCAGACAAAGATGTTGTAATGGGAAAATGATGATCAAGGTGAATTTTGGCAAGGGTATGGGAAAAGCAAAGTGAGCTAACAGCAAATTTTGTTTATTCTTTTGCGAGGACCCGTGACTCAGAAGGACACTTGGTAGGACGTGTGTCAAAAATTACAATTTAAGTCTGACTATTTCAGCCTGTAATTCTATTATCCCATGGTTTAATGTATGTAACTATTTTAAGGGCATATTATGCATGTTTTTTGGGTTATCCGTAGTCACAAGACATCTAAATTTCAGTGTCATGTTGAATTTCTTTCTCCATGTAAAGAACCAAAGTAGACAAGTTGGATGTCGAATTTCACATAGGCAACATGAGCACTATAATTACAGTTGCCAAGCAACATGAATCAACCAAAAAAATGACATCAATACACTCTTAAGTTAAAATACACTTGCAGTTAGCACGTGTACCATCATCTGCAATTTCGTAGCATGTACACATCAATAAGGGAAATAACTAGCCTTGTCTATTCATCATCAGAAAGTTTCATAGCATGCACACACAAGGAAAGAAAATAGCTAACTTGTGTATTTCTTAGAACTTTATTCATTTTTTGTTTATCCAACGCTATTTCTCTTTTAACAGAATCCTAAAAACTAATGTACCACTCAAGATATCTGTGGTTCCAATTCATACAATAATTTATTCTGCTGAATTATCACCTTTTTTAAACAAGTGATGACATGCCAGATTTTGAAGTTGAACATCACAACCATTAGCCAGTATAACAAATTTTTTTCACAATATTTACATAATTTGCATCCAAAATAACCCCTCATATCCAAATACAAGGCAATCAATTTTCATTGAAGCTATCAAATTAAATAGACAATTGCCTTCAACCAAGCAGATAATCTCAAATGAGTGCATTTAAATCATCTACTATAAATATAAACCCATCCTACACTTCACTTAAACACCTTCCAATATAGAACTTCAGGCTGAAAAATCGGGAAAAAAAATACTTCTAAACAGAACTTCAGGCTGAAAAATCATACTCAAAAGCACAAGAATGAAGTCTTTGAATATGGAATCAATGATGTGCCATAATTGACCCTAGATCCTTTAAGACAACTATAAGAGGAAACTTTGGAAGAAAAAAGAGATGGTACATAATATGCCAACTACTCTTTAACTATTGTTGTTTGTGTAGTAAGTGAGGCTTGGGTATCACAGATCCCTGATGCATATGATATGGATCACATTTATTAAACAATATACTAAAAACTTCATTCATGTTCGAGGAAAAAAAAGATCCCTTAAAGAGAAAAAAAAAAAAAGGAAACAGATAAAGAACATTCTACAGAGCACAGGCATTAAACCATGCAACTCAATCATTATGGTTGAATTTCTCATTACCATTGGATCCAGCATGAAATTGATTGCAGCAACTAACTTTTCAAGTGAAAACTCATCCACAGGAATGGGTGCAGGACCAACTCCCCTGGCATGAACACGGTCTCCCCAAAATGGTTGGTCTCCAAAGAATGGTACAACAGTTGTGGGGCACTAGAGGTTGTATTATTAAGGAAGAAATGAGTAAGCTCCAAAAGCAAAAAACTACAACTGGTATATAGCACAGGAATTACCGCAGCTTTAAGACCAGCTGCTGTTGTTCCTGCCCCTCCATGATGCACCTGAAGATTGTGCAAAAACAGAATACAAGGTAGCAATTGTAAGAGAGCTCCATATATGGAAAAAAAATATTCTACAACGTAAACTTAAACTAGACTCAACTTTCCAAAAGTTGTTTATTAACTAGCAGTACAGGTAAGACTACATTTATGAGCAGGGAATGTAACAAGAGAAGATTAGGGCATTAATTCATTTGCTTCGGCTTTTCTGAAGCTTC